CTCGAAAAACCAAAAAAAAAAAAAAAAAAAGACAGACTTCCCATTGCAGCCAGAAAAGTGATGTTTCCTGAAACTTGTTTTAGGTGTGTGTATCAATGTGTATATTAGGCTTTGACTCAAAAACAAAAATTGTCTGAGAATGGATCTAGGACCCCAAAGAGCTCCACTACTGAGCTCCATCCTAAGTTCTTTAAAATACTCTTATTATGGCAGGGCTGTAGTGAATGTCTTTGGAGCTTTAGCTCTAGATTCAGCCCCCAGCAGGAGTCAGCAATGGTTAGGAGTGGTGTAAAGGGCTGCCTGAATAACAACGAAGAGCTTTCTGAGGGGCATTTGCCCTTAGGTGAACTGCTTCGGATCTGCATGCCATCACTGTCCAGGGTGCTAGGAACCAGGCATGCCTCTTTAGCTCTATCTCCTCATTCTGTGGTACACCATCCTTACTGATGGAGTATCCATTTGTCCAAGCATCACTCTACCCTAAGGCCTTTGCAATTGCTTTTCTGTCGGAAATACTTGCAGAGATCCACCTGCCTGCCTCAGTCTCTCAAGTGCTGGGACTAGAGGCATAAACCATGTCCCATACTGTCAAAAATATTTTTCCAACAGATCGCTGCATGGCTGATTCCCTTCCCTCTCCAATCTTCCTCCAATCTTTTAGGAAATGTCACCCTTTCATCTATCTGAACCCTACTCTCACTTTTTCTTTCTTCCTTCTTTAATATCTACGTATTACTTATTTGGCAAGGTACAGGGGTGCACACTTGCAATCTTAGTATTCGGGAGACTGAGGAAAGATGATCACTGCAGTTCGAGGTCAGCCTACTTTACTCCATACCATGCAGTCCATGAGGATAAATTTGAGATTGTCTTCATTAAATGCTTGGTTCCCGTTCCGGTCGTAGGCAGCCCAGATGTTACTGGCGATGGCCGCGGTGACCCGGGCATCTGTGTCCCCATAACCGGAGTAGGCCAGCAAGGATCCCTCGTTATTCAGCAGCCTGGCGAGGATGGAGAAGGATTATCGACAAACTCAGCAAGAGTGAAACGCCTGGGTTCCTATTCCAGTTCCCGCTACTGGCGCTTTTAGGAAGCCAGGATCTGCTAGGAATATATCCTGGAACATGCCCTACGCACTCGTCGACTTCCCTTTCCGAGGGGAGCCCTACGTAGGGTTCCCGAAACGGCCGCTCATACGACCAGCCTCCTCCCGGTGGAGGGCTACTTCCCTACCCCTGCTGCAGGCAGCCGCGCGCCGCCCCACTCCAGCGCTCGCCGCTCGGGTCCTTGTTGTGCACTCACAGGGTGCTTTGGACTCCCCCGGTGTTGGCTTGGCTTAGCACCTGCGTCAAAGCCTTGGGACGCAGCATGCCTGCGTCTCCTAACCCTGACCGGCACACACCCCGTCACCGCCGGCCGCAGCTCGCCAGCCGCTTCCGGTGGCCCAGAAGCCTACCTGCGAGGCGCCCTGGGAGTTGTAGTCTCCGGGCCTACCCACTGAGTCTCTGGCCCAATCCCCGCCCCGCGCGGGGGGTAGCTGGGAATTATAGTTTCTTGTGACCGCTCAAGGAATTCTGGGAACTATAGTTTGGCTTCCTCGCCAGACCATGAGGCGGGGAGGGGGGGTGGAGAGCGGGAGTGCAAGGACAGAGGCGACGTTGGAAGGACTTTTAACCCCTTGTACGAAAAGGGCGCCCTCGTGCCTACTAGTCAGCCCGCGATTCAATAATAATAAAGATCTGTGTTTGCTAGGCACACCCTTGGCCATTTTTCAAATCAGTATTGCACGATGGTCACAATTCTGTGCGGTACTGCAGTCTTGACACCCAAGGCTCAGAGAAGCCACGTAGGCAAACTCCAGGTCTCTGGATGTCCTCGATGGCCCCCTCGGGCCATAGCTATGCCTGCAGAGGTGTTAAGGGCGTCCAGATCCAGGAACGACCCCAGGCCTGGCAGAGATTCCGCCTCCTAAGAAAACCCAGTTACCCCAGGGAACAGAGATGAGGCGGCGACACAGAAAGTCCTTTGTCCCGATCGGGGGGGAGCCGCGGGCATCGCCGAGGCTCGGCGCCCGCTACGCCGCCCTCTGGGCTCCGGAGAAGCTTGCCCTGACCAGCTGCGAACCCCGCT